CACTCTCTCTCTCTCTCTCTCTCTCTCTCTCTCACACACACGGTCGGAACACAGCCGAAACAAACCAAATCCGTGAAACAACACACAGACCCTCCTCATCAACACAAGGCAAGCTGTTAATTATCAAAAGCCAAAGATGAGCAATAGCCCTTCACGAACGAGCACACAAACCAAATCTAACGAGGGACGCGGCGGAATCACGAGGAGGAGCGCGGCACGCTGCTGAAGGGACCTAATGAGCATGTTCATTTCCATTTACATTGTTTCTTTGACAATAATGATGTCCCATTAGGGGAGACTAAAGGGTTATAGAGTGAGAAACGCGCCAGGCCTCATTACCAAAGGTGGGGAGGGAGGCGCCTTTAATTGCTCTATCAGGGCCCAGAGTTACACTTGATAGGACAACAGAAGCAGACTTTGGGGAGGAAGAAAAAAGAGCGAATGAGAGACAGAGAGAGAGAGAGGGTCCTCTCTGAAGTACCTAAAAGCAGTGGAGACCAGTGTGCGACTGGAATAGGAATCCGTTCAGAGCGGCGAAGGAAGGCCAGATGAACTCTGAAAGAGTGAAACTACACAATGGCAGACGCACCGCTACGGTTCGAGAGCTGGAGATCTGCAGGGAGCAGATCAAAAACTCTTAATCTAGGAAAAAAACACACTTATACTTCAGAGAACTGAAAAGATCCTTTAAAAGCTGATTAGCTCCTGACTAGGCTGCCGCTGAGCACAACTAACTAGAGTCACTTGCTTGGAGCTCTCAGTCCAAAAGGATCTTCAGACTGACGTCTTGAAGTCGAGTCATTAACAGCATAACATGAACTTTCCTGTCCCAAAACCAGACTTAACATTCTCAGCATACACGGGAACAGGGGTGTCCTCCTCATCAAAGACCTCGGCTCTGCGAGGATTAGCAAAAGAGAAATTAAAGCTTACAAAGGAGAAGCGATCAATACCTGAATATGGAGAACAAAGCAGTCGTGAACGTAGTGTCAAAGCGAGCCTCGTCCCGTGCTCATGTGCAAACTCATCAGAGGAGAAAACGCTGACAAAGATGTGAGCATTTCTAAAATATCAGTCTGAAGGGAGGATTTATGTTGACTGCGAGGTGAAAACAATCACACTGGACTCATGCACTTCTTAAGTCCCATTCACACAGTTACTACTGATGCTGTAGTTATGATTTAATAAATTAATTTAACACGTCTCGGGACTGTACATCTGTAAATAACTTATCAAACTTAACTTTTCATCTGTAAATAGCACATATGCACATTCACAATTCTGTCTACTGATATTTTCTATTTCTCTATATTTTATTACTATATATAGTTATTTATAATTTATTGTCTACTGTCTTTATTATTAATGTTTCACACACACTTTCTGTTGTTAGTGTCAGCCACACAACCAATCTCGTCTCTTCGTGTGTTTGTGTCCTCATAACAAATGCATGGTGCTACTTTGCATTGAGGTTTTTCTGAGTGTCTAGGTTCCTGTCATGCGTGGATCCTCGGGATGGAGACACACTATCACATGATAAATGTTAAAGCACAGTCTGGAAGGCCGTGTTCACTTTCATTAAGAACAGAGGCCTGGAAAATACTGTTAAGGGTCAGCTTTTAATGTGAAACTGTATCACTCTATAACACACTGTGAAATAAGTTTTAGCATGAAATGTCTACCTAGGCAACATTTTTAGGCATCGCCGGGGACAAACACTACTTCAAACGGCGTTTTTAATTTGACTAAATAAAAATAGCAAAGGCTGTGAATTAAATAAATAACACATGTGTGCTGTGTGTTTCAGAGTTAAGCACAGCACTGTGTTCTTTTACAAATGAACAGCTCATGACGATGTGATTATACTGATATGTGATCACAACAGTTTTGGCAAATACAATAACTGAAGTGAGCAGGTTTCTTCTCATATTGACATGAATGGTGACTGCTGAGCCAATTTACATGTATTTGAGAGCATTGTGATACTTTCAAGACCAAAAAATAAACTAAAACTTGCAGGAAATGAGCTCTCAAAGAGACAGTGCTGAAGAATATGTTCCCCAAACACACGACGGCAACAACAACAAAAGTCTCGACTTGTGAGGGACTCAGATCTCAGATCAGACCAATCTTGAACTTCTGAGCATTAAACAGAGTGCTATATTTCTGGCAAACCGACCGAGCCATCACCCTGAGAACACCGTCACTACGTCTAAAGGGAATCAGGAGGTGGCAGCATTATGCTTCACTGCGGCGTGAAGATTAAAAAATAACAGACAGCACTAACTACAGAAAAACTCAGGAGTTAATTAAGCTGCAATCAGCAGGAGCACTGGGACAATTAATCTTCCATCAAGGCAAAGACCCGCAACACAGTGCACAGAGCAAACAGTGAGCATCCAGAGGCCTGTGGAGACAAACACACTCCACATGATGAAGAAAGAGCTGAGAAACTCACCCGGACCGCTGCCTACACGTCTTATACATGTCCAGTCGCAGGACAGTACTTTTACACACAGTGTGTAATGCGTTTGAAACAAGTCTCTTCTGCTCATCAAGGCTGCATTTATTTGATCAGAAATACAAAAAAAACGGTAAAATTGTGAAATATTATTGCAATTTGAAATAATGGTTTTCTGTGTGAATATGTGTTAAACTGTCATTTATTTCTGTGATGCGCAGCTGAATTTTCAGCATCATTACTGCAGTCTTCAGTGTCACATGATCTTATCTAATATGCTGATTTATTATCAGTTCTGGAACCTGTGATACTTCTTAATATTTAGTTTTTTGGAACCTGTGATACTTTTTTTTTTAGGATTCTTTGATGAATAAAAAGTTTAAAAGAACAGCATTTATTTAAAATAAAAAAATTATTTTCTAACAATACACATTTTTTTTTTTTTTTGAAAGAAATGCTTTTATTCATTACATTGTTAAAAAAGTAAACGTAGCTCATTATATTACAGGTTTATGTCCATACTAACAATTTAATGTTCTTTTTTGTAACTTTAAAGTAAATGTTATTAGTAGAAGTAATACTTATAGTATAATACTTCAAGGTGTACCTTTTGAAAAGACTCTGCTCCAGTGACAGCTTTGTGCCTTTTTTCTATTTCTCTGAGAGTGTACAGCATGTTTCACAGCCATGAAAGAGGCATTACAGCATTACCAACTCAACTCCTAGCAAACTAATATGACAAGTGAAAGCCAATCTCTGCGTCCAGCAAACACAAGAGCCGAGGCTGTCTGTCGGCCCGGATGAAAACAGATGTTACATAATCCTTCCCTTTCTTTGCAGAGAGACGACTGTAAGAAAGCGTGTGAAGTTCAGCCGTGTTTCTGACACATTTGTTTGAAGGCTGTGATGACTGTAATTACCGGCGGCAGACAAGCAGGCCTTGGCACCTGTGTTTTCTCTGAGAGCGAGATAATGAAAAAACAACAGCACTGTCATCACCTTCGGGTTCCTGATTGCATTATCAAAACTACAGCCGGGCTTGGCGTCTGGGCGTGACCTTGTTAACTGCCAGGGTAATTAAGTTTAACCAATTGGGAGAGGGGATGATAAATTATTAGCAGGTAGATTTTGTTCACATTTTATTAAATTGGCCTGCCAAAAGGGTCGGCCAAATTATCTGGGGCCTCATTTGTTGGAGGCCGGCCACATTGGCGCATCTGTTACAATTATTTATAATTTCAAGCAGTCGAAAACCAACAGAGTTCGGCATCAGCCGCATAAAGCAATTTACAAATGATCTGATGAGGGAGTGTTTGAGTGTTTTCCCCTCATTTCCAGCCGGCAGGGAAGAAGAGGGGTGAAGAAGGAGAATAAGAGTGTGAGAGAGAGAGAAGGGGAAACAGCGTGCTGTAATTACAGAACACGATTAGGATGTTCTGGGAGTTTGGCTGGTCTCGATGTCGAAGCAGAGGGAACATATGGAGCGGCTGGTGATCGCTCTCCCCGAGGCCCGCGACCCGTCTGCTGCGTCTGAATTACACTGCTCTACACATGTACCGTTCCTGATCACTGTTAATTACCAAACAGCTATAATCAGGCCCCTGACTGTATGACGCCAGCAGACGAGGCTTCGCTCGGAGCACTGTGTGAACACAGACGCAAGCGGCTCTCGGGTCAGGGTCGTGTTTCTGCTGATCAGAGGCCCTGCAGATGGACGGGGACCGTAAGCAAGCGAGTAAGTGACCAGTCGAGCCTTTAACACATGGCTGGGGTTTATTAATGAGTCTCAGTACACACGCGGCTCATCTGATGAAAGCACTTGAGCACAAGAGGTCATATCATTACAGGAGAAAACATCACAAACAAACTCGCCAGCATCCACCCGAGTGTTTCAGGACAGCCAGCGGCTGGATTCATTCAGCGGCGTTCTTGCTAATATACGGCTGTTTCAAATACATTACAGTTCAGAATGAGCTTCTCTACACCGAGTCAAACAGCTGAAACATCATCGTTTCTTTCTTACACAAATCAGACATCTGGCTTAGAGTTCCAGTCGACTGACCGCTGCCAGACAGAGACACGTATATCATAACGGAAGGATTTTACAAAGCTCTATTCCCTCATATTTACTGAATATTTGTCATTTTTGTTCACTGGCAGATAACACTTTACGATAAGGTTCCATTAGTTAATGTATTAACTAACATGAACAAATAATGAAAAATACATTTATTACAATATTTATATACAATAATATTAATATACAATATTTTAACATTAACTATATTAGTAAACGCTGTAGAAGTATTGTTCATTCTTAGTTCATGTTAAGTAAAGTAGCTAACTAATGAACCTTATTGTAAAGTGTTCCTTTATTTTATCGACACATTCGTTACTGACAGACAGCAGCTTTTCCAAAAATAATGTTTCATCTGTGAAAAATGTTTAAATAGAATAACAATAATACATTAGACTGTAATATATTTGAAATAAAGAATTATTTATATTTATTCATATTCACATTTATATGTTAACGGCTTAATTTCACCAGTAATTATTCCGCAGTTATGGAAGTGGAAGAGTACGTTAATAAATAGATAGTAATTTCTTGTAATTGTGAATTTGTAGCTTTCACAGTGTCACTTTATATATATTTTTTTGGTTTTTATCTTAAACTTTACCTAAACTTTCCTTTATTTTTTAGCATAACAACGCATCCTAACCTCGCTGTGATCCAATCTTTGTCATGTAACACACCTATTTGTTTACATAGCTCACAGTTATTTGTGATCTGAAGTATGAATGAATGAATTATGCATTTATATAGCGCTTTATTGTGTATTTTTGTACACCCAAAAGCGCTTTACAATCATGTGGTGGGGGGGGGCCTGTCCTCAACCACCACCATATATTATATTATATTATATTAATTATATTATATTATATTATATTAGTAGAAGGCCTGTGGGTAAATGCACTTCCTCCATGAATCCTACACCCTGATTTTCTCTTTATTTCATGTCATCCGGCTGAGTTCTGACGTCTCTAGGTTTCATCCTAGTTCTATGATCTGTTTTTGTATCCCCATCCACAGATGTTTGGCAACAAGCCCAGTGCATTATGGGAGTTGAAGTTTCTTTACCCTTTCAGAAGCAGGGAACACCGCAGGCCTTATATTCTCTAGTTATTTCAATCCAAAAATCGTTCCTTTTTACTGCATAGACAGTCACGTTTTATTAAGAGGACATCTCGCCAGCAGTGAATGACCACACAAAATATATTCAAAATCAAAATAAAACATTTTAATGTCATGCAAAACACAATCAGTACCTGAACTGTCAGCTGTGAGCTGGACTCGACAAAGAGTCTGATTAACGTGGAAAAAATACCATTTATAGCATCGCGGAGTCACGTCAGGTAAAAGATGGAAAGAGGCTCCAACACACAATACTCACAAAAACAGACGATTGTTTTAGATGATTTCAGAGTAATATCGTATATATGTATTATTCAACCTTCAAATGAAGCAGCACCAATAACGGTTTAGAATGCAACTTGAAATACTTTCTGATGTGAAAAGTGAAAGTGTTGTGATCTGCGTTTGGTGTGACCCGGTGCTAACCACACAAAGGGTGGCCTGTGCAAAGTTTAGTTTAGTTTAGTTGCTGTGGAAGCACAATAGGCCTGACGAGACGAATTCTATCTAAACCCTGATGCAGGACTCCAGACAAACACATCGGCAGGAGCTCAGTATGCTGGAAGCTCAGGGTTTGAGCGTCAGAGAGTGATCAAAAGAAACACATCTACTCATCTAAACATGACCCCACATAACAAGCCGTGTGTGCAGGGAGCGGACACTTCAATTATACATCTGACAGCTCGGCTTCCACTAACACTAATAACACGCCCTCTGTCAGAGTTTATTATGCCAAAAAATAAAATATTATTGGTTAATTTACGTATTTGGTAACACTTTATTTTGAACGTCCACTTTCGACTCCATGTCAGCTAGCAGTCATTACAGTATTAGAGACTGTCTGCTTGATATCTGCTCACACTTTGTTTTGATGGACATTCTACTGATTATAAGTAACTTTGCAAGTACATGTCAACATATTCTATCAATCCGAATCTAACAGTCTACTAATACTCTAATGAGAGTTGGCATGCACAGTAGTTGTTAATTAATGAGAGTTCGTTAACATGTAGTTGCAAAGTTAGTTAGTAGAATGTATGGACTATCAAAAAAAAGTGTAATCAAAATATTTCTTAATTAAAAACTGAGAATTGTCTTTGAAGTAAATGTAATAAAATATACAGTACAAAACCAAATTTATTTTGCTTGATCCCACTGAAGCAAGGTTTTTATTGGATCTTTGATATTTGGATTATTTACAGTGGGTATAGAAAAGAATCACATTAATGATCACATTGTGTTGCTTTGCGGCCTGAAATGAAGACGGACAGAGTTTTTGTTTTATCCAGCTGCAAAGCAACAAAATGTGATTATTTTAAAGGGGGCTGATTCTTTTCTAGACCCACTGTGTGTGAGACAGGCCACATCCATCTCTCTAACCACAGAAGAACATGATTCCGGCTGCACTGGCTCTTCTTTAGTCCCAAACACACACACAATGGACTTCGTCTCTGCTCCTCTCGGACTTTCCTTGCTCCATCACTCCTCTCTTATTCAAACTAGTCTGGTCTCGCTCAGATCCCTCTGCTGATCAGCACTTTGATCATTCCTAACATTAAAATAAAGCTCTAACAACCAGTGCATTAGAATTTAGCAGGTGTTCAGGAAGAAGCTGATACAGAATTTCAGATTTCAATAGAATACACAACCCAGTCAGTGCAATTATAGCGGAACGGAAAGCCCTCTTGACTGTGTTAGTGCTTGGGATAACTGATCAGATCACTTTGATGTCTGCAGGTAAAACTGTTAAGAAACAAAACAGCAAGGCAGCCGCTACATGTGTTCAGTAAACACAATTTCATATTCAAAGCAATGCATTGAAGTCTGCATAAAGCATGCATGGATGATTGGCACATACCCAAAACTACACACACACACACACACACACACACACACACACACACACGCACACACGCACACACGCACACACACACACACGCACACACGCACACACGCACACACACACACACGCACACACGCACACACGCACACACACACACACGCACACACGCACACACGCACACACACACACACGCACACACGCACACACGCACACACACACACACGCACACACGCACACACGCACACACACACACACGCACACACACACACGTATAAGTGCAAATGACAAGTCTCGGTTAGCCTAACGCAGTACACGTAGCAAGGTGTATATATATATATATTACACACACACACGACTACTGCGGAAACCTTGCATAGTTGTACTTACTAACTGAACTATCTGCTAAACTTTCAGCAACGATCTACATGACTGCTACAAAATACACAACTTCATCCACATGAAGCCATTTTCCTCAAAGTTCAAGCACGGACTGATAATTTCAGCTTTAATAAACTATCTGTGTGAGTCATTCTGTCAGATGTTCATGAGTCTCTAGGGACAAAATAAAAAGCAAAGTCCTCAAGTACGAAAGGAGTGCAAACCTGGAGCTGAGCAATGAAAACAATGAAATCCTAAATCTGCACGGGCTCCCCTCCGGAGAGAGATGAAGACCGGCTTTATTCTTTACTCTTATCACATTCAATTAATATTTGAATCATTCTGATCAATACTGATAAGAAGATAATTATTTTCATGTTATGGTTGATGATGGTCAAATGACTGCAATCAAAATGGTACTATTTTGTCTAAATAAATTACAAATAAAACACTTTAAAATGAGCATGTGCAAACAAATATTTAAATACATTATTACTCGCTGTAATAATTTAAATACATTATTACTCATTGTAAAATTACTCATACAATATGCAGTCGTATATATATATATATATATGTGTAAAAATGCCATACAGTGAGGATTATTTCAAAAATAGCAACAAATAGATTTTATTTATGAATTGACTTCTATTAACTAAATCTAAGATTTTTGCACTGTAGTGAATATATATATATATATATATATAATGCATTAAATGAATTAGATTAATGACCTGCGCAACTCAATGAGAGCAGCTGAGTCCTTAGCCATCTTCAAGAATCGGCTAAAAACATCTTCTATTGACCCTCTAACTCTAGCACTCTCTATTCTAATTCTATTCTTACTCCTTGTCTTCTTTAAAAAAAAGGCCCTCTAACACTATAGTGTTCCCTAGTCTTTTTCTATTCTATCTACCTGTTTTCTTTTTATTTATTATAAAAAAAAAACTTACTACGTGTGCTGCGTTAGACTAACCGAGACTTACATATTATTACCCTTTAGTTAGTTTTGATTGCTTCTATTGTCCTCATTTGTAAGTTGCTTTGGATAAAAGCGTCTGCTAAATGACTAAATGTAACATTCATGAAGAACACTGTTCTTTTGTACTTTACATTGATCAAAGAATCCTGAAAAATAAAATGAATCACCAAAAATATTGTGCAGCACAACTGTTTTCAACATTGATGATAATCAGAAATGTTTGTTGAGCAGCAAATCAGCATATTAGAATGATTTCTGAAGATCATGTGACACTGAAGACTGGAGTAATGATGATGGAAATACAACATAATAAATTACATTTAGAAAACATTTATTTAAACTGTAATGAAAATGTCACAATATTACTACTTTGACAGTATTTATGATAAAACTAATGCAGCTCCATACACACTACCAGTCAAAAGTTTGGGATCAGAACGATTTGTAATGTTTTTTAAAGAAGTCTCTTCTGCTCATCACGGCTGCATTTATTTGATCAAAAATACAGAAAAAATTTAATATTGTGAAATATTATTACAATGTAAAATAACGTTTTTCTATTTTAATATACTATTCTATTCTAATTTATTTCTGTGATGCGCAGCTGTATTTTCAGCATCATTACTCCAGTCTTCAGTGTCACATGATCTTTAGAAATCATAATAATATTCTGATTTGTTATCA